TACTTTCACGAGATTCTTTTTAATATATCTATCGATCTTTCTCTTCTTTTTTCTTTTTTTTTTCCAGTGAGAAAATCTAATCAAAACGAACGAAATCAATTCTCATCGTTCGTTTCTCAATCTTTGCTCTTCCAACTCGAAATATACATTCTTCCACCCCAATTAGAATAATTTCATTCGCGCATAATACAGTTTCGCGAATTGTGTCCACGAGATAATTGCTTCTTTAACGAAATATCGCGTTCCTTTTCTAATTATCGTCGGTGGAGAAGGTCGGTGGAAACCGGTGTTCGAACGGTTTCACAATTTACACGTGTTTACACGAGAAGAAAGGGAGGAAGAAAGGAGCGGTGACTGTGAATTATGAAGATGGCCGCGGCTTCCTCGGCCGGTTAATTATTCATAAATTGGCGAGGAGCCACGCGTCTCGCCACGTCGTGCTATCCGCGCTTCCGTCCATGGGCGGAAGTTGAAGGAATTCCCGAAAAGGAATTAACCGCCGCGATGAAATCGAACAGGGCGAACCCTCCCCAACTTTCCCTATTAATTACTTTGCGCCACCGTTCACGGCGATTAATTAAAATTATAGGAAAAGTTTGGCAACAACCTGTTACGTGTTTAGAATTATTCCCCTCTCGGATAATGAAATTTTTCGGGAGCGATCGTGAATCGATTGTGGACCAACGAATCTGGATACGACGATGAAAAAATATTTATGGACCAATCTTTTGCGAATTTTAAATAATAAGAATTTTATTTTTTCGAGGATTAGATCATTTGGACATTTTGATATACGATGAGCGTAAGAAACGAGAGGCTGTCTTCTGGCAACGAGCGTTTTATACAAGCGAGGCATGCAACGATTCTCGTAAAAGATTGGCATTCTTCGTGAAAATACGTATCAAACGCAAGGGATAAAAATTCCTGAGAACGAGGCTATATATTTTCGTATACAGATATTGGTTTTGAATATTTTTAAGTAACTATTCTTTTTCTTACTCGGAAACAGTAGAAGTCGGAAGATGCAACAAGTTTTGACGAGTAATCAATTGTTCGGAAATATATTATTCGGATTAAAGATAGAGAAACGCTTTTGCTCGCGTTATCTTAAATTTTTTTTACGGCCATCTTTCATTCCGAGGAGAAAAGCTTGAAAAAAATTGTTTTCCGCTTACAAAAGAGTTTCATTTCGTTTTACATGGTGATAGAAAATTTTTACAAGCGGCATCAAAGTTGAAACGAATTCCATTTCATTCTACCTCGTATCTCCAGCGTTTTCCAGCAAGCGACGCTAAATATGAGATAAAAACAAATTATGCACGCGGCAGATTTAAAGTTCATCGCGAAAAAAGGTAGACGCGTAGTAAAAGTAGAAATGCTGTTCTTTCTTCGTCCTTTTCAGAGATTTTTCGCGAGACACCCCCCTTTTTATTATTAGAAACTGGCTGGCGCCCTGTTATATTTTTCCACGGCGTTGCACAGCCACGGCGGATCCAATCTTAACTCTAAATTACACCTTAATGGGCGAGCATCCGTCGGCCGGGTCCCCGGGACGTTCCTCTAATTTGAGCAGATTATTAAAATCGCATCGTGCTGATCCTCGAAATGAAGGATCACCCCGGCAGCCAAGCGACGATGGAACTTTTCTCGTAAAATAAATCAGCCGGTCCCCATCGTGGTAATTCGGCGCAGCCGCCTCTGCCTCCACCAGTAATATCGGATATTTTCTTAATGGTGAAACTTCCACCGACTCCTGTTCATCCTCATGAACTCGTTGATAAATCGGTACATCGTTGGTACACTTCGATCCTCTTCTCATTCCAGCATACATATATATTTCGATTCGATCTCACGTTTTGATCGAAATTGAAAACGGTTGGAAAAATTTAGAAATTTTTCCAACAGGGAATGGAAATGTTTGGAAAACAGATTTTCTATTGAAATTTTAATGCACACAGCTTTATGAGTAAAATTGAAAAATTAACATAGACTGGTTGGAAAAATTT